ATCGTCATTTTTATTGAAAATGCCAAAAACATTGCTATTTTTCACAATTATCCATGACGGTAAACTAAATATCTTTTGAGTTTTGGATTGTTGGTCAGACAAAACGAGACACATATATACAAATATGCGCTAAATACTTAAATTATGATTTTAAAAAACGGATGCATCCTAACTTAAACTGATCACATTATGCCATTAGAATCAAACCTGAATGGTCAGATTCATTAGTTATATTACAAGTGTTATTGTTTTTAATATTAGTTGTATTAACAACAAGTATGAATCTCAGTTGGAGCATGAGAAGAAGAAGAAGTCCGAGGGGAAAATGGTGAGGGCTGAGCGGCAGCTCGTGTTGGACATGCTCTTCTCTGCCTTTGAGAAGCACCAGTATTACAACATTAAGGACCTGGTGGACATCACCCAACAACCTGTTGTAAGCAGCACACACACGCATGTAACAGCAGCGTAGCTGAAAAAAACACACAATACACCTGCCCACTATCCACCTTGCTTTGTTAAATTCGAACAAATCGCCCACGGCATGACGTTCATGCCTGTTCACACTATCTTTTGTGGTTGAAATTTGGGCCAACGTGCGCACATACACACGCACGCACACACACACGCGCACGAAAATGGTATGAATCGATGCAGCGCAGTGGATTCGTTCCAGCTCGCGGAGAACAGCAATGTGTAGGTGCTGATGAGACCTCGAGGTCCTCCTCTCCCTCTGATTGCATCTGATTGCATAACCATCGGGTGAGTAGGAGTCAAACGCCGCAATACACTCCACACCATCGTTTTTTTTTCCCTAAAGCACTTGGCTAACACTCAAATTAACTGAACTAAAGTAACCGAAATGCCCATTATGAAAATCGGGTGCAGTGGGCTCATTCCTCCCAGCTCAACGGAGACCCCCAGTGGTCGTTGGAGAGAATAGCGTCTCACACAGAGCCTCCTCAGTTAGACTTTAGGTTTGTGTTGGATTCATGAAACTGTCACTACAGAAGTGAAAAGTCTAAGCAGATTAAAATGAGCAGCAAAGTAAATGCAGAGTTCCAGCGAAATCACCATTTAGTATAAAAGTAGTGTAAGACTGGTCAGGGATTTGATTCAATCTCACGCTTCCATTCAGACTGCAGATTGGAGCATATATCATATAAATCTATCTATATCTATCTATATCTATCTATCTATCTCTATAGAGATAGATATAGATATAGATCTCGATCTCTATAGAGATAGATATAGATCTCGATCTCGATAGAGATCTCGATCTCGATAGATAGCATATATCGGAGCATCTAGTCAAAGTCATAGTATAGTACATCATTAAAAATGTCATTAAACTCATAAGATAGTATGTCATGTGTTACATACTATAAACCAACATGCAACACGTGTTAAAATACACTCTGAGGTTTGTCACAGTGTTTTTGTTTCACCCTGTTTCTCCAGACCTACCTGAAGGAAATCATGAGGGAAATCGGGACGTACAACAGCAAGGGGGCTCACAAGAGCACCTGGGAGCTGAAGCCAGAGTACCGGCACTACCAGTCTGCTGAGGAGGAGGAGGAGGAGGAGGAGGAGGAGGAAGAGGAGGAGATGCAAACAGCCTGATTCCAGCCGGTTCCTCATCACACGGGAAAGAACAGAAGGGATGCAGCTTCCAGGTTTTCCAGTGACTCCCTGAATGTAGACATCAAAAAGGAAATACTGTTTGACGGGAATGCAGCCAGTATGTGATGATTTTGAATCACCGGGTGGAAAACTCTGCTATGCGTTAGCTAGCACAGCACTTAAACATAACTAAACACATTGTTCACAGTGTTGGGTTTCAATCAAGGTTTTTGTAAGCTGAGAAATGAAGAATCAAAAGCTGTCAGGAAGACGAAGCTGGAAACATGAGAAATATCGAGACACAAATCACACAAGGCGCTCCTGCTACACTGACGATGAACTTGAGCAAGATGGCTCTCTTCATAGTTTGTTTTTTTGACTTCAGTTGTTCCATATCAAAAGTATTGAACTTTTACGTTTTACTTAACTCCTGCTAACGTTGATAGCTATGCTAGCATCAGAGCACTATGAGCAGCAACTTTTTTTCTCCCCCCATAGAAAACCATTTTGTAACAATTGAACACCTCATGTCCATCTCAAACCCTTTTCCCCCACTCCTCTGCTTGTTGCTGCTCTGTTATTAAAATGTAAAGCATGGTGGGTGTCTGACTGCACACTCATGTGACGGGTGTTTTATATCTGCTGTCTGAAGGCAAAACATCTGAGTAGACTGATGTCAGAAGTTCATTATTTTGGATTTAACCTTTAAGATGTGTCAGATCACATCAGAAATGCAGCCAGCCGGACCCGGTGGTCACTACTGCTTTAAGGTGTGCCTGGTGGATTTATAGAAACACTGGATTAGTCGTGTCCCGATGTGTTCATGTTTTCTTTTCAGCAACTTTTAATTTAATCATAGGGGATTAAACAGAATTGGGAACATTCATTTCTCCATTCTGTCAAAACTTCGACAAGTTTTGCATCACATGACTGAAATTACTAAAGGAATATAAAGCAGCACGATCCATACTGTAAAGTAACGGCCTTTTTTTTTTCTTAATGGATTTGGGTAATCCTGACGTTATTTCAAACCGCTCTGTGGCAATATGAATTTAAGAATCCAATTGTTAAAATCAACCCAAAAGTTTAAATGTAATCAGGTAATCTCAAAGGCTTACTCAACACCCCTCGCAAATAAAGCAATAAGGCAGTCTAAGCAGGTTTCATTGGTGGTTTTAATATGAAAGAATTCGCCTTTAGTTTTGTTAAATCGGAACTAATGCAGGAAACAGACCAGTGACTCCGAGTTAGCACATTGAACATGTTATATCTGTGGATGAATCTATAAGCGTACATGCGAGGAAATATTTTTCAAATTTCAACTAAGTACATTTTTCCAGTTCTTAATACTGGCTGAATGATTGGACATTTCGTGGTTGTACGGTTACATTGCAAAAAATACATACAAAAGAAATGCAGCAAAAGAGCCGGTGGTGGTACTAGATTTTATTTTCAAATTAAACCAGAAGAATTTTCATTAATGATGGAATCGTATTTAATGCAACCATAAACAGGAGGTCTGAGGAGTCACCCTGTAGGGAGCTTTGCTAAAATACATCCTTCAATCAGAAGTCCACTCACTATCCCGCCTTTTCAATCCCAAAAACTGCCAGTCCTGGGACGAAAATCAAAACACTGCAAAAGCCAAAAAGAATATTTAAAAACAGTATTCAGTGACCAGTCGTGTTTGAATCACCCAGTCTGGGGCATGGTGAGTATAAGAAATTGTAAAAGTTTTTTTATTTTCCAGGCATGATGCAAAATAGTGCTCCTTCAATCTGTTCTTGGGCCCATTTGGACTGCAGCAGTCAATTGAAAAGCAGATGTAGTTCCAGGTGTTTACTGCAAGAAAGAAGAACACACCTTAATTAACATCAAGCATCTTTTAATATTCCTTTGAACATCAAAATGAACCAATTCATGTTCCGGTACAGTTGAGTGAGAAATACAATACTGGCAGAGTATCAAGGAGATGTACGTGCATATAAATAATTTTAAAAAAAGTTACTGCATGACACTGCATTTCTAGACTGAGCAGAGTACTTACACATTTCTCAGCAATGAGACCGTCCTTGAAGAATAACATGAATGGTGTGATTCCGTCCTCACGATAGTCCAGCAGTCCCACCATGCCCTCTGGGTTCATGCCCTCTCCCGTGAAAAACTGCAGAGAGACGAGGACGACAGAGCCAGAAGGCAAATCAGCAAAACTGTGCGAGCTCAGCTTTCAAAAGAGATGCCGGTCACAAGATGAGCGACCATAAACTGTGGCGAGCAGCTAAGAAGACGAGCGTCGTCTTTGGGCGGTTAACAATAAGGGCCTGTAGGATTTGTGCACAGCCTTCGTTTGCATAATACCTGGTAGTTCTTGAGGTTACTCAGGATCTTCTTAACTTCTGGTTGTGCATCAGACATGAAGGGCTGCACTCTCGCTGGGCATGTGTTCTCCAGGTGGGCCTTAACGCTGGACATGCAAACAAAATGACAAATTACATACAAACACACTACAGTACCAACAGGTATTTGGCCAAAAATAGTGATATTGTATTGGTGCGTCTCTAGCCTTGAAACTTCAGCACAGATACTTACGCTTTAAAGTACTCCTTGATGTAGACCACATAATCCTTCTTGCCGAAACCCGTCTCCTGCAGCTTGTGGTTGAGGACGATGTCGACTCCAGAGACCATGGACTCATCGGTGCCCTCACATTGTTCTTCAGCCGATGCGTTGCCACCAATTAAAGCTTCGTCGATGCTGCCCTCTTTCCTGGTGATCGTCTAAGCATAGAGGATGGACGGACATTAGGGGGAGAACACCAAAGTATGGTGGATCACAGAGGCAGTGGGAAGGATGGGGGAGCGTCTTGATTGCCAGTAGGTAATGGCTGCCGGCTGGAAAGACTAGAATGTAGCCACTTTGCTTATTTAAACCCAAAGTGAAGCTCAGCCCCACACTGTTAAGCCAAATGAGTGGCAAAAAGCTTGCTGGTAGTTTAACTTAATTCACATTACATCAAATCTGTAACCCAAATCTGTTTTATTTAAACGGAGAGTTACGCTGAACACGTCACTTCTTTGACCATAGTGGTTATATTCAGTACTTGGTTGTAGAATTTGGAGCCAATTGGTCCCATTACATTGTGACCCTACCAACCAGGTGGAAATAAAACACATTTAATGTGACCACCCACACAATCCCATCCTCCTGTGTGTAAACTCACCCTTCCTTCAACTTCATAGAAGATGCCATTTTCAGATTCTTTAATTTTGTAGATGTCCGAGAACATCTCGTCATCTGCGGGAGGAAAACAAGTCACTTTTTTTTTTTTGAAACAAAGCAAAAATCTCTGGTCTGAATGCGTCATCATCATCATTCACGAG